GGTGCTGTACCTTACAGGGTGCTGGAGCCTTGGACCACTGGTGGGATCCAATGGACCTTTTCATCCTGTGGCCAGGCTGGTGGCCAAATCCCAGTGAAATTCCTACAAAGGAGTCCTGAACTGTGCTTGAAGACAGCGTGAATCCCTCTGTGAGGGACAGTAACACAGCTCCCTGCCCCGGCCCCTCCATCACTCCCTGTGTGTTTAGTGTGGGTTTCACCATCGTGTCAGCTCAAGTCATCGCTTTAGGGATGTCTTTCCTGGCTTTTTCCATGGTGGGATGGGAGCTGGGGGGCCAGGCAGACCCACCACGGGCAGTGGCCATGGTGTGTGGCGGTGGCCTAACAGGAGCTGGGGTGACCAGGGCTGGTGTCCCACGTCACCGGTATTTCAGCATCTCCCTGGAGCTGAGTTTGGTGCCCACTGATGCACCAAGCCCCCCGCACTGCCCATTAACACCATGAGAGATTTTAACCCTCCTGGCGTGACCTCAAACCTCCCCTCTGTCGTCTTCTCCTACAGAGATTTTTCCTATATGCTCTTCCCCTGCTAAGTGGGGATATACATGCTGAGAACCCCCCACCACATCCTGTGGGATAAGCCAGGATAAAGGTCCCCCCCCGGAGTGTGGCTAAAGTGATCCCTATGGCAGACAGCTGGGGCTAAGCTGGAGCTCAGCACTCAGTGCTGGATAAGGGGAAGAGGAGGAGGCTCTTCAGCCTCGGGATGGTGGGTGGGAGCAGGGATGGGGCTGGTGAGGCTGCAGCAGGAGCAGGATGGAGGGGCCAAGCCACAGTCCCCGCCATGCCCTGTTTGCTGAGGGTTTGGGGCTAGAAGGGAGGGTGAAGGAGCCAGCATCCCCCACCAGCTGTAGCTACGTCCAGTCTGTCTGTCAGCCTCTTCTCCCGTATGTCTATCTGTCTGACCCCAGCATCCCCCAGCAGGGGCGACAGCAGGAGGTGGCCAGTGAAACTCTGTGCTGGGGCCCTCACCAAGGGGGACAGGGAGGGGCTTTTGGTGCTGCAGATCCCCAGAGGCATCAAGACCCCTTGGCTGGTGGGGGGTTGTCTTGACTTTAAGGCATGGCTGGAGGGTGCTGCTACTGTCCCCACATGCCCTCACGGGCTGGGGGAGCGGCTTGGCCCACCTGGCCACGTGGCTGCAGCTGGTGTGGGGCACATCTGGCTGGACAGATGTGGGGGCTCGTTGAGGGGGTCACCAACAATTGTGCATTTTCATCCCTCTCTTCCCCCCTCTCCCCACTGTGGGTCAGTCACCCCAGCTCCCTGTGGGCTGCCTTGGGATGGGAATAAGGTGACACACAGGAGACCCGTCCCATCCCGCTGTGGGGCTGGGGTGGTTCCTCAGCCCGGGGGGGCCAGGCAGCCCCCAGGCCAGCCAGAGCCCGGCCACGCACAGAGATCTGCTGGTTTGCTTGCAGTGCTGAGCTGCGAGGGTGGAAGGGACCATACGGTCCCCTCTGCGCTGGCCTAATAAACCCAGGAATGCAGGTCAGGCTCTACAAATCCCGTTAACTGCAGTGGGCTGCAGAGCAGAGCAGCGACCGGGGCTTAACCCTTCTGTCCTCCCAAACCCAGGCAGAGGTGGGGGCATGGGAGCCACCTTCCCCCCCGGGGGCTGCTAGAAACCAGGGCAGGGGCTGGGGGCAGGAATGTGGGGACTGAAGTCTCCTGAGCTGTTTTGCTTGTCTGTCCATCTTTCCATCTATCTTCCTTCCACCTCCGAGCTGTTGTGCTGTCCGTCCTTCCTTCCATCTGTGATTCCTTCTGTCCCCTGAGCCATTGTGCTGTCCCTCCATCCTTCCATCCATTGCCTCCTCTCCCTAGAGCTATGCTCTTGCTGTCCAGCCGTTTCCAGTCTGCCCATCTCCTGTCTGTCCATCCATCCATGCACCCTCTGTTCTCTCTGCTGGTTCCTCTATCCTTATCCACCCTTTCTTCCCCGCTGCCTAGCCAGCAGCCATGCATCCACAGAACCATGCATCTCCTTCCTCCCTTCTCCTTCCCTCCCCACCCTCTGTCCCTCTGTGGGGCAGAGGCTCGGGCTGGGCTGTGACCCACCCTGCACCCACCCCGGGCTGGATACAGCTGGGTTAGACCCTCTCCCGGCAGGATGAGTTTATGGCCAAGGAATGGAGGCGCCGGTCCCGTCCCCCTCCTGGCGACAGATTATAGCATCATTTAAATGCATTTTGTCTGTGGAAGGAAATAGCTTCTCTGGGTGCCGGCAATCCGCCTGCGCTGAACTAATCGTGACCGTGGCGTTAATCTCCGTCTGTGCTCCCTCCCTCCCCGTGGCCGGGGTGCAGGTCTGTGCGTGGGCTCGGTGCCAGGGCCACCCTGGGTGTGCCCACTGTAGCAGGGCTTGGCCACACCGAGTTGCCAGCTGCCGTGGTGGCTTCTCTGAGTTGAGCAGGGTCCCCCGCAGATATCTCCTCTGCTTGGCTGCAGGGAGGAGAGGGGCTTTCCTTGCCCCCCCCTCCCCGGTGTGCAACCCTTACTTGCCATCAGTGAATCCCCACGGCAAGGAGGAAGGAGATGGTTGCTGGGGGCTCGGGCTGAGGGTTTGAGCCACGAGCTGAGGCTGGGTGCCAAATTGCTGACAAAAAAGTGGCTGGTTTTGCCCTCCCAGCACAGTGGGTGGTGGCGGGTGCCCCTCGCTGGGCACTTGCTGGGGTGGCACAGGGCATCTCCCCTCGGAGGGACAGGTGATGACACCAGCCGTTTTGCACTGTCCCAAGGTTGGGTTTTGCTCAGAGCCATGCTGGGCACTGAGTTGGGTGGTTTTTGGGTATATTTTCTTCGTGAAATGATCTGATCCCTCCCCAAACCCCAGAGGTTTTTAAGGGATAAAAACTGCCACTGTTTTGGTAAGTCAGTTAAGAGCCTCTTTCCTGGGCTGCCCGCGCCTCCCTCGTCCTGCCGGTATCTCGCCCAAGCGGTCAGGCTCGTGTCGCTCCAGCTGGTGGATCCTTTTCCTCAAATAGTCTCATGCTTTGCAAAAAATCCCCTTTCCTAATTGCTGGGGGTGGCAGGAGCAGCAGTGGCTGTGTCAGCCGGGCTGCAGGGAGGATGCGAACCTTCATGTTTCTCAGCAGAAATCAATCTCCGTGAGCCAGGGGAGCAGAAAGCTCCTCACTGGTGGCTATTTCTGAGCAGAGTGGCACCCATGGGTGCTTCCTGGGGCTGCGCCTCTCCTCCAGCTCCTGGGCTCTCTGGGGTGGGGAAGCAGAGCGGGACAGGCTCAGCAGCTGACAGGAGCAGGGTTAGCAGGGCAGGCGCTGGAGCTATGCCCATGGTGGTGGGGGCACGGTGACCCCACTGGTGATGCTGGCAGCATGTCCCCAACCTCCATCAGCTCCAGGGAATGCTCTGCCTGGCTCCCAGACGAGTTTCATCCCAGGCAGTATAGCTGCAGACGCTGCCCGTCCCTGTAGTGGGTGCTAATCCTTTTATGAGCCCTCTAAGCTGCTCAACTCCCCTGTGCTCCACAGCAGAGAGGTCCTCAGGGGGGCTGTGGGGTCCTGCTCCCCCTTCAGCCGTGGCCAAGACCGTGCTCTCGCCTGGGGAAAGCCCCAGGGTCCCAGCACGCTTCAAAGCCCCCGCTGGGGAGAGGGCTGAGCCGTCACATCAGCGCCTTTTGCCGCCGTTTGACACAAGTAATTTGGGCTCTCCTGCTTGGGAGCCGCCTGGGAGCAGTTGCAATCAGCACGGGGAACGAGGGATGCGGGGGGCTGGTGGAGAGCCGAGGGGGTGGGGGGAGACACCCAGGCCTCCTGGGAATTGCTGGCAGCCGCTGGCGGATGCGAAGACCTTGAGATGTCTTCCAGGCTCCCGCAGCTGCCGGCGCAGCACGTGCCGTCGGCCTGGCTCCGCACTGACCCCCTCTCGCAGCATCTACTTGAGCAGAAAGATTTTCGTGGGGTTTCTCTTTGCTTGCTGGCCGCAGCAGGGGGGTAGCCAGCTCCCTCTGAGGGTCTCGGGCGGCTCCAGCCCATGGGAGCATGTGCTGCCTGCACAGGGGCTGCCTGCTCTGCCTGTGTGGTGTTTATTTTTTTTTTAAGGCAAAATGGACAAAATGAAGGACAAAAGGGATTTCCTAAGGGCCATCAGACCTGGGTGCTGCTGGGGTTTGCACAAGGTGGCACCAACATCATCTTAATCACTTTTTCACCAGATTGTGTCCGTGCCTGGAAAAATTAGGTCTGGGTCACGTTTGGAGCTCAGGGGTGGCACCATGTGGGTGACACCCCTGGGTGGGTGATGAGTGACAGACAGGCTGTGACACTGCCTTTACAGGTAGCTCCTGGGGACAGAGCAGATCTGGGGCGAAGGAGACGATTTAGGCACCTTCCCCTTGTGATCTGGAATCTAAAAGCAGGAGAAAAGCCTCGATCATAGATACTTGGTGGGATATGCCATCCAAAAATTAGCCTGGGCCTACCTAAGTTTTGTTAACAAGCCTCTGGAGAAACTCAGCTTCCTTTTCTCCTCACATTTGAAGCAGGGGTGTAGCCAGTTATGCCCTATTTCTACGAGTGGATCCGTGCTGTTTCAGCTGGTGCCTTGGCATGGGTGCTGGGGTGGGTGCCCAGTGCGTCGGGCTCCCCAGGGGCAACACTGAGCTTGGATGTGGCTTCAACATGCCCTGGCCCAGCCTTGGGCAGCTTTTGAGCATCCCTCCTTGCTGGGTGGCTCATCCCGTGCTGAAGGTGGGTTTGGTGAGGCTGGAGCCACCCGCTGGGAATCACAACGATGCCCGAGGTCCTGGGGAGGCTTTCTGTGGTTTTGGTTTGCAGGAGAGAAACCCAGCCAGACTCTCGCTGCCCTTGCAAGGGGTCTGGAGGCTGAAGCACCAGCTTATCCTTGCCATGGGGCTGGTCTCCTCCTGCCTGGGTCTCTTCTCCCTGCTCTCGGGCTCAGGAGATGCTCTGGAGGGGGATGTACCACACTAACCTGTGCTCTCCATCCCCTTTGCAGCCCATGCCAAGGGGCCAGCCCCCAGCCCCGAGCCCGCTGAGCTCCCTGGTGCCATCACGCTGCCCGTGAGCTACCGCCTGTCCAACACCCGCTTGGCCTTCTTCCTCAAGGAGGCGGGAGCCAGCCCGATGGGCAACAGCAGCACCCCCCTGCAACGTGCTGAGCCCTTCGTCGTCTTCCAGACCAAGGAGCTGCCCGTCCTCAACGTCACTCTGGGGCCCTTCAGCACGGGGCTGGTGCTCCCCAAGGAGCAGCTGCAGCCCTCCAGCACCCTGGAGGTCCCCGACCGCCTCACCGTCAACTGGAAGGTGCGCGCCTTCATCATCCAGCCCCGCCTGGTGGCTAACCAGCCCGTGGTCCAAGTGCTCTTCTACGTAGCCGGCCGGGATTGGGATGACTTTGACGTCACTGACCGGCTGCCCTGCGTGCAGCTCCACGCTTTCCGCGACGCCCGTGAGATCAAGAGCTCGTGTCGCCTGCGGGGCAGCCTGGCCATGTGCCTGGTGCAGGCAGAGCTGCCCCACGCCTGGTTCGGCCCTGCGGCTGTGCCGCTGGGCCGGCGGAAGAGCCCTGAGAGCCTGGAGGTGCCGGGCGAGAGCCAGCAAGCCGAGTTGTACTACACCCTGCATGCCCCCGACGGGGCGGGCCAGTGCCTTGGGGAGACGGTCCCCCGCCGGGGGGCTGGGGGGGCCAGGACCGAGGGTCCCACGCAGCACCCGCTGCTGCGCATTGGCAGCGTCAGCCTCCTGCAGCCCCTCCTCGGGCAGCCCATGCAGGAGCACCGACTGGATGGCAACATCTTCATCCGCCTGCCCGACAAGCCCCTCAAGCCCGGTGAGGTGCTGAGCATCCTCCTCTACCTGATGTCCAACTCCACCGTGGAGCATTTCACGCTCAGGTGAGGTCTCGGGGTGCCCCCGCTCTGCGAACAGCCGCCTTTTGAGGGGGTGGGTGTTTTGGCTGGGAGGGGATGGGGAGGGTGTGTTATGTTTATGAGACCTGCTGGGACCTGGTCTGGGTCTGGTGGGGCTTTGTGAAGGTGAGAGAGGCTAGAGGAGCAGCTGCCACATGGTTTTGCAATGTTTTGAGGCCTTGCAGTGGGAGTTTTTTGGAGGGAAGGGCAGGGCAGGGCTCTCCATTCAGAGTTTCCTTCTCTGCATCACCACTATGGACTGATGCCTTCACCCTCCCAGTGCTCCCAGTTGCACTGGGAGGGCCCTGCCAGCAGATGTGGGTTTGCTCACAGCCACTCTGGGGATGAGGTGCAGTACAGCCATGGGGCTGCTGCAGAGTGAGTGGGGGCTCCCCATGTCCTCCCCCATCCTGCTCCAGAGCCGGGGTGAGAGCAGGATGGGGCAGTGGGCAGGAGGTGCTGAGCACCCCGGTACCGGGAATTGTGTGTGGGGACCCTCTTTGCTGCATGTCCCTAAGGATGAGGGGATAAGCCCTGGCCCCATCTCTTCAAAGGGCATTTACCAGGGCCAGCAGTGAGCTCCTGGCACAAGGATGTGGCACTTGAGGGTCTCCCCTCCTTTACCCCAGGGGTGCCCAGCCCCACAGGGGTGTTACTGCCCTGGGGGGGCAGCACTGGGGCTGGGGGACCAAAATCCTGCTGGACGGGTGATGGGGAGGGGGGACAAAATCCCATATAAAAGAGAACCTGGGACCTGGGGTGAGATTGCTGAAGCCAGGAGGGGTTGGGAACAAAAAGTCCCCCTGCACCCATGGCAGGGGACTGCAGGGGGGTCCAGGGGCATCTGAGGGTGAGGGTCTGGCCCTGATCGTTGCTCTCCACAGGGTGAAGGCCAAGAAAGGTGTCAACCTGCTCAGCACCAAGTCGAGGAACGGGCAGTGGCTGGTGAGCTCGGAGCTGCTGACGGGCGGCAAACACTCCACTGCCACTGTCGACGTGGCCAGGGTGGACGGTGATGGGCCCAGGTAGGGGGTCCCCCTTGTCCCCCTTATCCCCCTCCCTCAGCCCTGGGGGTGTTGTGGAAATTGCTGGGGTTTGGCCTAAAGGGGCTCTCCCTTCATCCCCATCCTGGTTGCCTGGTTGGCTGCGGTGCCACTTGGGTGCTGATGGGGGAAACTGAGGCACGGGAGTGCACAGCCTGGACTGTGGGACTTGAGCAGTTTTGGGGTCAAACTCTGAGTCCATCTGAGGCTGGGGTAACTCCTGCGCTGATGTGGGAAGGGGCTTCATTTTGTGTGTGTTTTTTAACCTCGGCTGGCACCGTGCAGCTGGCTAAAGGGTGGGTGAAGGTGGGATTTGTGGCCTGAGGTGGGCAGGTTGTGGTCAGGCAGGCAGCTGTGTGAGGTCCTGCGTTCAGGTGGAATCTGCTCTATGCTCAGCACAGGTGACCAGGCTGGGGCTTGAGTAAAGTGCTTGTAAGTCATCGATACCATTTAGCAGCTGCATCCCTGGCTCTGAGCTGGGATTGTTTGGCCCTGCCAGATGCTGGTGGGCACACGTCGTGAATTTTGGGGCTGAATTGTGAAGCCGTGGAGAATCTCCCAGTTTGGGGTGGAAGTGTTTTAAATTTTTAAGAAGTTTTAATACCATGATAGTCAGCTGTTTGCTGAGTATCCTGGTGTCTCAGGGAAGGAAGGGGAGTGGTTCCCAGGCAAGGTCCCGTCTGGCCCCCGAGGTGATGGATGAGTGTTGGATAGAGAGCACGAACCAAGGTAGCACCTGAGATGGGCAGAGCCAGTTCTGCCCTGCTCGACACACGGATGATGCCCACTCCTGGGGCTCCAGGAAATGCTTGGGTCAGTTGAGGAGAGTCCAGGGGTCAGAAGTGAGAATTATCTAAAGGGGTGAGGACCCACAAAGCCGAGTTAAAGACCCAGAGGCTGCTCAGCCTGGCGAAGGGAAGATGCCTGTGAGCACGCAGGGGCTGCAAGGGTGAGGGGCAGCTTTACTCCCTGCAGCCACGTGGGCAGGACACGACGAGCAAGGGCAGGGGATGGGCACGGGATCAAAACCAGCAACAGCAAAGACTCTGAAGTGCTGGCAAGCAGTTGTTCCCAGGCTGTGGTGTGGCCATCACTGTGTCTTTGGGCAAGGGCTGACAAGTGTCTCCAGGAGCTGCGTTAAAGTGAGTTGATGTGCTTGAGCCATTCCTGCCCTCTGCATTGGAAATCTTCCCCGTATCTCTGCCCTCCACCCAGACTGAGTGAAGCTGGGGACGAGCTCTTACAGAACAGAGATCATCCTCAGCTCTGACTGCTTTGAACGTGAGCTCAAAAGCTGTCTGCAGAAAACCCCTCCAGAAGGCTTACCCGGAGGGTGGATTTTCCTTTACCCCACACCAGTGCTTCAACACAGAATGCAGCCGTGGCATCCAAGCCTGCAGCCCTGTGGCTGACATCAGAGGTCCCCAGGGCCAGAAGCCAACCACCCTCTGCACGGCCACCCCAGCATCCCTGCTCGTGGCTGCCAGACCTGCCGGCAGCGAGATTCTCTCCCCCTTCCCCCTCTCCCTGTCTGCTGCCGCCGCTTCAAATCAGCCTGGAAAGGTTAGAGACGGAGAATGAATTTAAAGTGATTACAATCACCTTTTAGACAAACAACTCCATCAAATATTAACAGAATGGAGGGTATGAATGACTCAAAGCTGTGTTGCCCTCCAGGCTGTGCAGCCGGAGGAGTTTGTTTCGACAGGGCTCTGGGGGCTTTTGGTAGTGCTGGCTGTGTAGGGAGAGGGCGAGGGTCCTGAGCTTTGGGGTGATAATGGCCTATTTTGGATGGTTTGCACCCCAGCAGCTGCATCCTAAATTATTCCCCCAATCTGGGCAGCCCCACTCTTGTGTCCGCTGTGGCTGAGAGCAGACAATACTTGGGGAGGATAGAAGATGTCTGGTGCCTGGCCCCTGACAGGGCTTCTTGGATGCCTGGGGGCACCCCATGGTGAGGAGTCCCAGCATCAAACTGCCTCTGGCATGAAGACGCAGCTCTGGCTCACCTTTGAACCTGGCTCTTTGCAGCTGTATTTAATACTTCTGCCTTGGAAGAGGCACCGAGCAGCCAAATCCCCTTCTTTAGTCCGGATGGCCTTTGGCGATTCCCCTTGCACCCCCATAGCTGCCTTGGGGGCACAAAGTCCCAGCAGAACCCCACCAGCCATCGCACAGCAGCTCTGCTGCAAAGCCCCACTGTGGGAGCAGGGCTTGCCATTGCCTGGAGCAGCCCTGGCTTCTTGCTCTCCTCTTCCTCTGCTCCCTTTCGCTCATTATATATTTCTCAGAGAGAAACCTGGCTGTATCCTGCACCCGCAGATCGATGGGATGTTCTCAGGGGATGCTATACTGTGAGATGAGAGCAGATCCAGTCCTGGCTCCCCCTCCATAGGGATTTCACCTTTCCTTGTTCCCCTCCCGCCTTCTGTTCTGGGGGGGCTTTTGCTGGCTTGGTGGTTGGCGGGGGCTCTAGGGTGTCCCTTTGGGGATGCTCTGTTTTTGGGGAGCATTGGAGAAGTTTGACTTGGCAGGGGTTTGAACCTTGAGTCCCCCCAAGGCATTTGTAGGTTGGATGCAGAGATGGGAGGGCAGGATTGCATCTGGGGAGGTTTGCTCATAGGGATGGGAGAGTGATCTATGCAGCTGCTGTCAGCCTGTGTCCAGGACATGACACAGAGGACAAGGGACACCAGCTGCTGAGTCCCCGCGTCCCCTTAGACTGGCACTATGTGCCAGATTTGGCAGCGTGCAGCCTCTTCATCCCGTCCTGTCTCAGGGATGCCCCAGAGTTCACTCCCTGTCCGTTAGCTCTGGGTCCTGCTGTCCTCAGCAGCAGCATTAAATGTGTGGGGTTTTGGGGTCCTGTCTACCTCCCTCATCCCCTGCCCATCCATCCCATCCATCCCATGGCTGCCCGTGCAGGCTTGGGACAGCCCTACCCCAAGTCCCAGCTTAGTGCTGTCCCATCTACTGTCTGTGGTTGAGCCTCTTTCTCCCGTGCCTCAGTTTCCCCATGTGATCCCCTTGGAAGGGTCTGTAGAGTCAACAGCTTGGGCTGGACTCCAGTAGAGGGACTTACTTGCCATCTCTGAGCACACTGCCCTCCTGGGTGTGGGACACTTGGGGTTTGACCTGCATGAGATGAGCATGCTGGTGGCAGCAGCCCGGGGTGGTAAATCTGGCAGTGCTGCCGGGAAGACAGAGCTGAGGACATGAGGGCAGCACCTGCAGCCACCTGCCATCCCCTGGGGCTGTGGCCACACACTGACCCTGTGATAATCAGTCACCCAGCAGCCTTGGGAGAGTGCCTGCCTGCGCCGCTGAGGTTTTTCTCCTGTTGGGGTGAGGCAGTGAAATGCAGTTCTCTCCCACGGGGAGGATTCCCATCAGAATCTGCAGGCTCCCACTGGAGCAGCCCCTGGTAGAGTTGGGGATCGGGGCTGCTGTTTTTGGGATCAAGCATCGTGGTGGCACCCACAGCACAGTCCCCCCAGCAGGCGTGGGGGAACCGAAAAGAGACCTGCCAGGGATGCTCTGCTGATCCCCGGGGCACCTGCAGGGCCTGGGGCACCCAGCTCACCGCCTCCCCCGCCCGTCCCCCTGCCCAGGGACGGGGACTCCTCCTCTGAGATTATGCAGCTGGATTTCGAGATGGAGAACTTCACCAGCCAGTCGGTGACACGCCGCATCATGTGGCACATCGACTACCGGGGCCGCAACCCCCCGCCCGACCTGGAGAAGGTGGTGACGGAGCTGACGGTCATCCAGAGGGACATCAGGGCCATCGTGCCCCTGGCCATGGTGAGTGGGCTCCTGCCCTCTGCTTACTTTATCCGATTTGATATTGGGGATTGGGTTGGGTTCCCCTGAGGTATTTCCCACCAGCCCATCTGCCCTGTAGCACCTATACACCCCTACCTCCCACCCCCCAGCCC